CAACGCCTTGCACTCCAGGAAGACATAATTTAACACGAACCAACCCGGCATTATAAGCGTTAGACAATAGTTGTTCAAAATACATAAAAGTCGTTAACCTGATGTGGACGATAAAAGAACGCCATGATGCATAATCTGACAACAAAACATAAAAATCACTCTAAAAACACATTTTTGGCAATATCTTCCTAAAGAGTCATCACAATTTCTTTCCAGTCTGCTCATATAATGATCGTATAGTGCACGTTTTATAGAAGAGAGGATGTTTCCCCAGAACCTTGCCAGTTCCGAGAAACATCGGTGAGGCGTTTTACCTCGGCGGGGCGACTTGCCCCGGTCTACCCTATCATGGTCGTGAAGTAGTCACGAAAAATTGCCAAGATTCAGTTCAAGATTATGGAAAATGCGGAACGATAATCAATAATCGAAGATAGCCATTTGATTAATCATGGTATTGGCAGTATAATGGCGTTTACGGCATGTCTGTATGTGTACTCTGTGATTTTATATGATTTTTTGAACATATGCCGTTTTTGGTCGAAAACTCAGAAATCATGACGTCACTAAAACCTCGATATCTCAAAAATTTTCCGACCGATTTCTTTTTAAACTTTGTCACAATAAACTTCAATCAATTCCCTACAGGTACCCAAAATTTGGCGCGCCTGCGGCGCGCCGTTTTTATGTGTATGGCCCGGCGAAAAAAGTGGGGGCGTTTAACGCCCCCCCCAGCAACTCGCGGGTTAACCCTTAAAAAAGGTGAACTTGAAAAGTTGACTTCAGGTCAAGGTCATTTTTGTCATAATCTGACAAAAAAACGTCATTGCATATCAGTTGATGCGTATCGTCGACCTGAACACATGTAAGATGTTTGTCGGGAGCAAAATTCAAAAAAAAAAATTTCATCGCTCTAGCACGTCGATAGATTTTTTTAACTGCTGGAGAACTTTCATGACCTGAGATGACCCCATGGAGATAAGGAGAGATCACGGGTGGAATTTATGTGTATATGTAGCCCGATGTTTGAGAGTGTTTAGATTGACTTTCGCCTAAAAGCTAGGAGCCTTTCAATTTTCTCCAATTGACTTACAATAGAGACGGCGCAAAATCGAGCTGACCTCTCGTCACCGATATCGGAATTCCGAGGTATGCATTTTACGCATACCCTATTATTACTCTTATTTATCGAGTTTCCCTTTCAAAGCAATCGTTCAGTCGATGTAGCTATGGCCAGCATTTCATTTCGCTTTCTAAGGTAAGATCACTTAGCGTGACCTGTTGACCGGACCTTAAACGACCTGCGCCTGAAATTTTCTCAACATTTGCAGAAAATGCATCAACAGGTGGGCTAAGAATGGCGATAGACGCCGTTTTTTTTTAAGATATCTGCGAAGAGCCGCATGGGGTTGTTAAAACATACCCGGCCCGGCGCGGGTTAAAATAATGGTGCTGATGTAGTTTCGCTGCTATCCGTCGCTTCTTGCACGAGTTATTCATGAAACCGACAGGGTCCATCCACCGCCTCCCCTATAAGCGACAGGGCTAAGTAATGAACAGCCGACAAAACATGTATGTTGCAAGCTGCAAAAGGCAAACAAAAATCTTCTTTGGCCAACTTCAAAGTCATCAGCTGCACTAGGGCCGACGACTTTGCGCAATGGTGAGGTCTTCAGAATGTTATCGATGTCCGTTATAAGTCGAGCAAATAATGTCAAGAGAGTTGGAGAGCCGAAACATCCCCTGTGTGACAGTGACATTAGTAATTTAATCAGTAGGACTGCCATGCTGGGAGCGGCTGGTCGAGATGCCGGATATCGTCTGTTTTCCCATCAGTAGCTCATAAGGTCGGTGACAGCTGGCAATGACTCAGTCCCAGGGCACTCAGCCCGCTGATTTCTGACGGTGAAGACCCGCCAATCTCCTCACCCAGCCGCGGTCAGCCACTCCGTGACCGCAGACGCGCTACTGGGACCGCGGAGCTCCGGGTCCGGGCGGGTTTTCAGACTCCCGTCCGTCTCGACAGGTGCCGGCGGGGACTCCGTGAGCGGTGGGTCGGCAGACTGAGACGGTACCGGGTGGCCGGAACAGACGGAAGGTGCGGCGCCCGGCGGGCGGGACTCCCCGGTAGCAGCCACGCACGCGACGGTAAACCGGCTCAGCCCCAGTACACCGGTAAACCACGGTAAAGCGCGCACAGATCGCTCCATCCGTACCTGGCGGCAGGAGAGCCTGGGAAATGTGCAGAGGGGGTCCGGGATGCGGCGCAGCCCCGTCTGAGAACAGTCCCGCGGCTGTCCTCCGAGTTCATTGGGACCTGCCCTGTCCTTCGAGCCGTAGAGACATAGTCTCCTCCTGTCTTCGAGGTCCATGGAGACCTGTCCTAGCTCCCGAAACCATGGAGACCTGCCCTGTCCCCCCAAGTCCATGGAGTCCAAACCTGTCCCCCGAATCCATGGAGACTTGTCCTGTTCTCGGAGACCATGGAGACTGGTAATTGGATCCATTCCCACCATTCACATCCACGTAAGAATGGCGCCAATGTATATACCGAGGGACGAGAGACTGATCCAGATAGGAGCTCGAAACGTGGTTCGTTTCCCAGCAGGCAGCAGCCCAGTCCCAGGTCCCATTTCCAGGTCCCTTGATCCGCAGCGTGCTTAGTTCTGAGACTGACAATTCCAGCTATGCTTTACAGTCCACCTCACTAGCGTAATAAAACTAAATAAGCATTACTTTGCTCCAGCCTGACGCAGACTTTGCGCTCAATTGCGCAGATAACAAGCTGTAAAAGAGTGGGAAGTGACCGTTCTGTCACGCCAGATGAGTGCAGTCACTCTCCACACTCAGAGAGCCTCTGCTCTGTCTGCAGTCGCGGGCCTGGAGAGAGAGAGAGAGAGAGAGAGAGAGAGAGAGAGAGAGAGAGAGAGAGAGAGAGAGAGAGAGAGAGGCGGGGGCATCCCCTCCGTTTCCAAGTTCTCTCTAATGAGGTAAAGGTCGCCGGATGTCGTTAACATAAGCTACCTGGATTGTTGTCATTAACCGAGTATTTTCGTCCTGGCGTTGGCCGCATCTTTTTCCATCATGGCAACTGGAACGGAACTGTAAGGACTGTCCCATCCCGTCCCCCCACCCCCGATCCTTACTGCCATTTTTCGACCGGGCTGCGAGTGAGGACCCTAGCTCTGCTTTGATCAGTGAATTTTTGAAATGGATACAAGGTACTTACATACATGCCTACGCAAAGGTGCCCACACACCATCCACGAAATCCGTTCTGTCCTGATGGCTGATTTTACCTGATTTTAGAACGGGGATATACCATTTTGAATACAATGATATTGCCAGCCAGTCGACGGCCGGATCTCAAACCTTTAATAAACTCTGGTATGTTTCAAGTTATGAGGGAACACATTTATGGTAAAAGCAAGACAAAATTTTCTAAGCTTTCATGATTAAATTAAACAACAATATTTGAATTTTTAGGTCATGTTTTTTAGAAACATGCACTTCAAAGCAGTGAACAAGGCTGATCAATAAAGCCGAAATATTTGGTTATAATAATATTTAGTTTTCATCAGCGAAGCCCGTTTTGAAAGCAATTAACTTTTTAGAGATCAGATTAACCCGCGCCCGGCTGGGGGTCATGGATTTCCACGCCCTGCTGGGAGGGGGGGTGTTTGAACACCCCCCCCCCCCTTGTAACTCGGCTCCTGGGCCACGTAGCGATACGCGGAAGGCGGCGTTCGAAAGAGCGTAAAAAATAATGACGAAATCACTTCGGTCAATTTTTTGGTCAGGTCAAAGGTGAGGTCACCAGAGGTCATTGAAGGCAAAATTTCGCCGATTTCCAGGTCGAATGTCGAAAACTTCCAAGAAGCTAACGCATAACTCGGGAACCAATAGAGCTACAGCGCCGCGGAAAAGTGCATTCGATAGCCCTATTAACGCCCTTTCTGGGTAATTCTCTCAGATTTGACCTAACGTCAACGGTTTTGCCTGCAGGGGGCAAAAACTGCAAAAATAGCCGATTTTTTTCGGAAATAGTTTTTCTGCAATAACTTTTGACCCAAGCCTTGTACGAGCTTACTTTTACCGGCATCGTGTTCCTCTCGTCAAGACGCATCGAATGAACTATAAGTTGACCTTGAAAGGTCAACTTGAAAATTTGACCTCAGGTCAAGGTCATGACCTGACCGGAAAGGGTCATGCTGCATATCAGTCGATCCGTATCGTCGAGCTTAACACATATAAGGCGTTTTCATCGCTCTAGCATGCCTCTATCAAAAGTTATTTGCGAAAAACTGTTAGATACCATTCGTGACCTAAGATGACCTCAGGGCACAAACAAGGGTCACGGACACCATTTTCATGTTCAGTGTGTCTTAACCACTTGTAATTCGGTGTTTGGGAGTGTTTATAATGTCTTTCGTCCAAAAGAGGCGCATTGCAATTTTCTCCCATTGACTTATAATGGGGAGGTCGCAAAATTGACCTGACCTTAGGTCATCGATATCAAAATTCTGAGATATACATTTTGTACATGCTATTGCTCTTAGCAATCGCTGAAAGTTTCGAAGCGATCGGTCACTCGGTGTAGCTATGACAGACATTGAAACTTTTTATGAGGTGAGGTCACTTCAAGTGACCTGGTGACCTGACCTTGAATGACCTTGGTCTGAAATTTTCACAACATGTGTAGAATTGATGTATAGGAGCGCCGCCGTTTTTGAGATATTCGCGAAAAACCACAAGGGGGTGTTCAAACACCCCCCCCCCCCCCAGCAGGGCGCGGGTTAACCTGAGGAAAAGAGTAATGACGCTTCGGCAACATCTGGTGAATCTCTACGGGCGGAGAATCTATCAGCTTACTGTAACATTAAAGTTCGTGAAATGTACCTAAACTAGCGAAAATAGCAAATTCGTCACTTGTTGATTCTACTACTTGTCCAGTGTCCAGCAGTACACTAGCACCTTCAACCTTCATTATTACTAACGACTTACCCAGAGTCCGACGAAGAGAACGAAGGCGAAATAGAGGACCACCACGACCACATCTGCCCAGTGCAGGTTTCCCAGCAGGCTGGAGCCCTTTGTGGCCATCTCCGTGGCCCGGGCCGCTCGGAGCGGTCTCTGGTGATGTGGAAGACGATGGAGGACTTCCACCTCCAGATGGTGTCAGTGGTCACAGCCCGGCGGGTGACTGGAGGTGGTGCGTGCCGATTGGAGCGGAGTGTAGTACTGATCAGGTGGTCGAACCGTTCAGCGCCGTCCCCAAGAGCCTCAGCAGCGAGGGATTAAATGTTCGAGTGAATTCACCTGATGGTGACGCTCGCAAAAAGATTGGTAGGTATCGATAAATTTATGAATAAAATAAACGTATCACCACGTTTTACGGTTCTGACTATGATTCACGGTTCACCAATGTCTAACACGTCCTTTGACACGTTCCCAGCTAACACCGTCCTCTCTGACCACTCCTCTGCTCTCCCTGCTCTCGGTCGGGTCGGGTCGCTCTCTCTCGGCCCCGGAGCCGTGTGTGGTGTCTGCTCCGCTCGCCGGCAGCCACTGACCGCTCCCGTGCCCCGGGGCTCGCCGCTCCGACCCGACGCTGCGCCGCGCCTCAGCTCTGTGACACGTGCAGACGACCCCGCCCCGCCCCGTCCCACCCCCGCCCGGCCCCCTCCTCCACCACCCGTATGGAGGAACAGGTGCCCGCCCACGTCCCTGCATCTGACGGCCTCGACCAGTGGCCTTCGAAGAACACCGGAGTAAACGCCTCCAGACACAACTCCATCGGCGCATTTTTGGAGCGAATCGATAATTAGGTGTGTCATTGTTTGCCGATAATGCATTCCGGTTTTAATTGTCACTCTTATTGTGCGACAGATGCGAGATTGTGTCGTATCATAATCCCATCGCCAATAACATGACACCTGTCTGTAGTGAATCGAGACCCAGACCGAACCATATGCCTGTGGTTTGTTATGGTTGGCCTGATAAAAAACGTCCAAACTAGACTAGTTTTTATACTGCATTTCAATTCGTTTCAAAATGCGAGCACTGTGTACTCTTTGTTCTGATTTTGGGTGTCATGTTAATTGTTAAATGCTGGAACATGCCAAATGAACGAGCGAGCGAGTTTAGGTAACTGTGGTTTAAATGAAAAATATCTGCATGGGCGGCCCGACCCGGCACGGCCCGACCGGACCCCGTGACGATTTTCTCATCCTTTTATTTCGGTAGCTGCTCGAACGATCGCCAAGCCGTCTTCTGCATCAGATAAACCATAAATATATCCCTTTAATCTTGAATTCATCTGTACTTTTGATGCGATATGGATGATCGGCATGGCACGTGCAACACGCCGAGTGTTTAATTTGTTCCGCTTGTAATAACTCCTTAACGACCGGGCGTACTGCGCTGAAACCTCGCCAATAAGTGGATATTGAACGGGTGGCGCATCCCACATGTATGTATCACGATTGGGGTGCTACTACACGTGCGCACGTGCAGAAGGCCGCTTTCACATCTCGAGAACGGCTTAGTCGATTGCGCTCATATTTGGTAATAAAGTTTACACCGGTTGGGGACCGAGTATAGCGTCTTGTAAGCAGTAAGGCATGTGCTTGAAATGGCTTGAATAATGGCAGGATTGTTCTACATTTTACATCAACCTTTTGCCGGCAGCAGTTTTCGCAGTTACCGGTTTATTTGGGCCTGCTTTAGAAGTGCTTACACCTATCAATGCCAAGCGTAGGTACTCATCGGCTGCGCGTTTATATTTGGTTTTATTTTTTCCGCAAGTTTGTCTTCAAACTCCAGTTTTGTCGCCGGAAGATCATCGCCGACTGCGATTATCAGATCATATTAACCGTTTTTACGACGGGCTGTCTGGCGAATGCACCTAATTTGACCAAATCTGCACCAAATAAATCTCTTTTACAATAAATATTTTTGCATCATGAATTTATTTCAGTGTTTTCATTAAATCTAAAAATGATGTCTGATAATTTGAAGAAAAAAAAATGATGCACATAAGTATCTGTGCAACCCATACTTATAAATTATAAGAAACACACTGAGCCTAACTTGACCAAATCTGCACCTAATTTGCACATAATCTGCATCAAATGTGTACCAAATGGCCGTCGTGAAAATGGCTATGATTGTAATTATTTCGGTAAAACGTTAACCTGAACAGCAATCCCATCCGCCCAGCGTTCGCTGGCACCTGAATGAATATCCAGGAGCGTGATAACATGCCTCGTATCACTTGATCGGCCGGATCCCCTAAGCGATACCTCAGCTGAGGTGGCACTGGAGGATTTATCATTCCTGGGAGCTAATGAAACAGGTGGTATTAGCATAACATTTATCATGAATATAAAAATGATTCTGATGAGAAGAATGACGGCTTTTGCCTGAATGAATACATAGACAAAGGTATCACATGAATACTTTTGTAAATGTGAGACCATTTACAAAACGAGGCCATGGGCCTCGTTTCATAAAGCGAGTCCGTACATAGTTACCTTACGACGGTTTTGGGGCTTGTATTGCAAGCGCATGTGAAGCGGCAAATTTATTTGCCAATCTCCCTTCTGTTCTTGTATGCAAGATAAATAAATTCAACGATTCAAATTATCGTCATCGCTTCACATGCACATGCAATGGGTAAGTACAAGACCAAAAACCGGCGTAAGTTACGGACTCGCTTTATGAAACGAGGCCCAGGACGACCACAGCCCGTCACTGGGCTGGGCCGGCAGCGCGTCGCACAAGACCGGGTCAGTCTGGCTTACCCAATGGCCAATGCCAATTATCCATTAACCCGCGAGTTGCTAGGGGTTAAATAACGCCCCCACTTTTTTAGCCGGTCCATAACATAAAAACGGCGCGCCGCAGGCGCGCCAAATTTTGGTTACCTGTAGGGAATTGATTGAAGTTTATTGTGACAAAGTTTCAAAAAAATCGGTCGGAAAATTTTTGAGATATCGAGGTTTTAGTGACGTCATGATTTTTGAATTTTCGACCAAAAACGGCGTATGTTCAAAAACTCATATAAAATCACAGAATAGACATACAGACATGCCGTAAACGCCATTAGACTGCCAATACCATAAACAATCAAATGGCTATCTTCGATTATTGATTATCGTTCCGCATTTTCCAAAATCTTGAACTGAATCTTGACAATTTCTCGTGACTACTTCACGACTATGATACATGCATTTCTTAAATTAAACTTTTTTAGCCAAACACGTACACATATGATAAAATGAATGTCACCATCGTGTTCTACGCCCCAAATTACCCATAAAACATGTGTCACGGGCTGCGAATATCAGTTTTGATTTTCGGGGATATGTGCCTACCGGTTGACCTGACCTTGACCGTGACCTATGCTTGACTGACCCCTACATGGAGCTGACACTCTTGTAGGCCTTATACGATGGATTGTGCACCATTTTGACAGAGTTTATGACGAGAGGCGCCCATTGCGAAGTCCTGAAGTCCATGCTACTGAAAGGCCGATTTCAGGTGTTTGACCTGACCTTGACCCGACCTGTGACCTCAAAACTCAACTTTAAAGTACTCATCTGAAGCGTCTCGTCGCGCTCTTTCGTTTGCCGCCTCGTGCGTTTCGCTGCGCCTATTGGTTCTCGAGTTATCGGCTGGGGGCGTTTAACGCCCCCCCCCCCCCCCCCAGCAAACGGTGGGTGGCGAAATACCCCAGCAACTGCCGGGTTAATAGTAAGCCGTCATTGCCCATGCAGAATAGCGCTGATTAGGCTACTCTTTATATACGGTAGTTACTTGGAAGGTATCGCTCCACGGATGCTTCCGCATGGCCCTGAATTCTGCAGCAATCAGCTTCTGTGTGACTCTGCAGTGACAGACCGGTTCGGCGGAGCAGAGTGTCGGATGAGATACCGGGACAGCAGGCTCCGTTAGAGAACGACCAACCGCAGACGTGACGTCACCGACGTCACAGTCACGGACCGACGATACCGGCTGCCGGATGTGTGAGGAGCTGGCATAACTACTAACTACAGATGTGCCAGTTATGCGGCATAGCTGGCCTGTTGCATTAACCCGCGCCCGGCTGGGGGTCCTGGATTTCCACGCCCTGCTGGGGGGGTGTTTGAACACCCCCCCCCCTTCTAACTCGGCTCCTGGGCCACGTAGCGATACGCGGAAGGCGGCGTTCAAAAGAGCGACAAAAATAATGAGGAAACCACTTCAGTCAATTTTTGGGTCAGGTCAAAGGTCAGGTCACAGTGGCGCAGCCAGGATTTCGTTTCGGGGGGGTCATCGCCTCCAAAGCGGGCCCCCTAGTGTGCGGGCCCCCCACTCATTTTTCAGAATCTCTCCATATTTCATACACATTCTGCTGAGCGGGCCCCCTTTACCTGCACGATAACCCTGAGCGAGTATGAATCAGAAAATTTGGATAGAACAATAGCTCGGTAATCACCCGGTGTTCAATTTTTACGCAAATTGACCACAACAGAAATATGTTACTATGACGTATGAATTCGTATCTTTCGAGGCCGAAAAGTGCCCTTTCCGCAATATGCATAGCATATATGCAATCGGAACTGTTGCCTGATTCTGTCGGACAAGATTTAAGTAGGCTCATATGCCTGTCCTAAGCCATATATTGGCTGCTGTAGGTAGTATGTAGATTATGCCATTATTATTCTTCATTACGTGAATTCGCTCACAAAAAGTTTTAACCCTCGCCGGCACAGGGGGGAGGGGTTGATGCACCCCCTAAGGTTTTTTTTCGCGAATAACTCGCGTAAAAAGCGGCTGATCGCGACGTAACTTTCAGCACCCTCGCGTTGATCAATTGTACACCTACCTACCCTAGATATTTCATGACCCTGACCCAAATGACCTTTGACCTACTTTCCGAGACCATGTTTGGCCAGAATCGCGGTTCGGCGTATGCCGGTTCGCATTAGCCGCGCTTTTGCAGTCCTTTCGTGGTTTCAAGCGTTCAAACATGTGATTTGATGTTGCTCCCATGGATAAGGGTGATGTCAATGTCACCTGAAGGTCAGGTCAGGTCAGGTCATTGACTTATGATGACCTCGGTACACTTTTTCAAGCAATGCATGTTTCTAGGCTAGTATTTTTTAGCTGAATTCGATTTTTAGCAACCATTTGAACATTTAAGAAGTAGTTTTGGTGCCTTCGTAACATGTTACGCAGCTGTCAGAGGCGGTTGACACGTAGGTACTACGAATACCCGGCAGGACCCCTACTGGTTGACATGACCTGACCTGACCCGACCTGGCCTAAATGCATAAAGACATCATCTGTCATCAAAACTAACATAATATATGTTCGTGATCAGCCCCCCGACAAAAACCCTATAGCAGCCACATTTTACGACGTTCTAACAGGTCCCGATTTTCCCGACAGTTGGGTCATTGACCTGACCTGGAAGGTCAACCAATGACCTAGGACCTTGGAATTGGGTATTATCGGCTTCCTCTCGTCACGGGCAACACGCTCGTTTTTTTCCGCGAAGCTCTAGCTCGATCATGGGCCAAAC